TCAAGAGGAAAATACACATCAGTCATTTCCTACCCACTCCCCTTTACTGTAAATATTGTAAAATTCCCTTGTAATGCCACTTGCTGTTGTTTGAAAAGAGCTTCTAACACAGCATTGTGAAGGGCAAAGAGTTGCAATCCACAGTCTCCAGTAACAGATGGAGGCCTTTAAAAGCCAGTTTGCTCTGGGCATTAAACATGCTGGAGCTGCAACACTTGATTCTTTCTCTCTTGGAGAGAGTAAATGTGTCAGACTGGAATATAACAGGCTTTGGTCTTCCATGTCTGTGAAGAAGTACAAAATCTGTCCACTGCTGTTAATAACTGACTATAAAGATACATTTTAAAAGAGGCTTGCCTGCAGCTATAAATATAAGCAAGTATTTTAGAGGCCTTTATATATGAAAAGAACCTTTCACAAATAAAAATCTTTGCCATCAGAAAATGATGCCTTCAAAATGGCTTCATGGAATCATAGAAGATTATGTGAGAGATAATGAAGGCATCACATTTAAATATTCTTCACTTTGATACTTTCTCTTCAGCTTTTGATGATCATCCTTTAAGGTTATTCAGATCCTAATCTTCTGAGAGATATTTGAGATGAAGGGATACTTGAAAAGGCAATTTTATTTCTTCTCTGTGTGTGTCATGTTGTCTAGAGCTCCAGTTTCACTCCAGAGTGTACATGAGGTCAGATCCTGACCTGCTGTTCGAATAGTGTGTGAACTCTGGACTCTAACAATGCCCCTGGGATTTAAGATGTACACCACATTATTTTGCCTTTTTTTTTGCTACATTGGAATATATATTTCATGAAAAATCTTTATATGTGTTAAATATAATCAAGTTCCTTGTTACTTCTTTCCATCAGTCAGGCAGTATTTTCTGATGAGGAAGCCTTGCTGATCATTCCACATGCCACTGTAAATAAGGCTATGCAAAAAGTGAACTGCATTCAGTAAGTGGAAGCTGCTGTTACAGAATAGTTCTGGTACACATAGGAAGGAAGCTGAATATATCAAATGGCAGAATGTACCTTTTTCTTAAACAAAGCCATACTAATATACTTATCAGTATGTTTCAAAGTACTTTCCTTGCATAATATGCACTGATGTCTTATTCACACAGGTACTAAAACTGAAGTAGAGAAATTTTAAGATGACATGGCAAGGTAGGATGTCAGTGTTTTCTGTGTTTTGCTGGACTGCTACCATGGTAGTGCACATTTTACAAAGGAAGAATGCTTTGGGAAGAACTTGCCAGTTTCTTTACATCTGATTTTATCACATTATCAAATATTGATACAGAAGATTGTGAAGAATATGCTATTAGATGAGTTAGTACAAAATAATTTAGTAAGCATTTTCCTTCTTAGGCTTTATGCATCCACAGGAGCCCAAAGGCTTATTAATACTGAACCAAAAAATGTTATTTTTCTGTTCCCATGGGCTGTCTTTTATAGTGGCCAGCATTGTGACTGTGTGATGAAAGCCACTTTGATGTTCCACGTTTTGCAGTAAGAGGGCCATTAATGACATATGGCCTTTTGTGATAGCTGATGGAAACTAAGGCTCAACCAGTCCCTTGTCTCTCAGCTGTTCACAAGTAATGAGCAGGCTGGGATAGAATTTAGCTGGTAGCAAAGAGCAATGAGGAAAGGTGAATCTTGTCGCCAACTGGAACTGAGTACAAAGGTGCTTTTCCTCCTTCCTGTATTCATTCTACCCTATTCCAGGCATGCCTGACTATGGAGTAACTACAGATCTTATCCTTATGCTCTTGTTTGGAGGCATGACATCCTCTTTTTCGAGCTACCTACGACTGATGATATTTTCCTAGGCTGGCAACTGCCGAGTTTGTATTTTATTAGGCAAGACCAGTTGCCTTCCATGTGTTCAGCCAAACTTGTGTTCCAGATTCCCTTCAAGGCAAATTTTTTGGGTTAGTACTGGACATATGGAAATGTGACCAGAGGAGGCACATCTGGCTTTAACTTACCATAAGTTCACAGAAGAGTCATGTGAATTTTCCTCAAGAATATGAAGAGCTTGATTCACAGGGTAAAAAGATTCCAGAGTAAAATGTTCTTAATTGTTTTAAGAAAGGGGAAATTAAACTTCAAAATGTTCAAAAACCCATGGCCTTTTAAGGGATTGTAAATCACTGGGTACTTTAATAATTTCACTGTAACTTGAATTTTAATTGCCTGCCCCTTCCTTTTGCTGTCATTGTATTTTCATCCTCTCTGTTTTCCTGAGAGTGTTGTTATTGCTGTTTATTTGAAGAAATCCACTGAAATTTTTCCTGCAGCACTGCAAAATTTCAGGGAGGAATATATTTTAGTATTCTGCATTATTAATTTTTTTTTATATCTCTGTAATTTTAAAATATGAAGTGTTAATGAATGTTCTCCTCTAAACCCTGGACTTTTGCATTTCTAGCCTAACAAGCTGAGGATAGTCAATGCCAGGTGCAGCCAGAATACTGCTGCAGCCCCACAACATATCATTTTTTTAACATTATTCAAATTAGACTCTGCACTCATAATTCTGTTGTTTCCTTTATTGCTGTTGTAAAGCAAATGGTTCTTTTATACAAATGTTATCTCCTGGCTATTAATTCAGCAGTTATTTTGGATTATGGCACTCCTGTTAAATTTAGGAATGTAAAACCTCATAAATATTTAAAAGTTTCAGACTGACGTGGGAAGAAATTGTTTTTGACTTGCTTTGTTAATATCCTGTTGTTCAATTTGTAATAGATTTGGAATATATTGTTATTTCTCTACTGTTTGACAAATGGAAAAACAATTTTAGTTGAACAACTGCTTCAAGTGTTCTACCTTGAATTGCAACAGGGTGATAAAAGTGTTGGTTTCCATAAAAAATAGCAAGGAAAAGATCTGCTTTTCTTTAAGAGACCAAAAATTCTGAAAATGTTAATTAGATCCCACTTCAAAGTTAATGAAAATGCAGCAGTAGGTTTGTAAAGATTGTTTGATAAACAATTTCAAGAAGGTCTACTCACAATCAAGTGCTTCTCTTTCAGCTTGTTATTTAAGCTTTTCACTAAGGAGTATGATGTACAAATGTGTTTCTTCCCCAAAAAACGATTATATTGAGAATCTTATTTCTATCCATGAGTGTATTCATAGACTTAATATTAATGTGCATGTCCACTATCCCCCAAGTCTTCGAAGAATAAATGAATGATAAAAAAGTCACAATTTTTATAAGATTGCTGAAGGTCTGGACAGCATAGTTTCAGGGCCAGCATTCCTGCTTCACACCTAACCACATTTTCTTTCTTACTTTATCCTGGAATTATAGACACAGTTTTTCAGATCTTAAAGGATGTTAAGGTGTAACTCCTGTTGGGATCATCTAGAAGTATTCCACATATTTCAGTGATTACTCAAAAAAAGATGCTGAATTGATCCAGCCTGGTATGTTAGTATGTTCTAAGTATGTTAGCAGACAACTGAGTGTGCAGTTAACAGAGCTTGCATCTCTGCCTGCATGCTTCAGAGGTTCTTAAGCTGTGTCCTGGGATGACACTTGACTTGATGGGTTTGCTGTATTTCCTGTATCAGTTTAACTCCTGGCACTGTGCCATGACTTCTGAGGTACTGGTGTGTTTTACTGAGTACTGAACCAAAAATAATTTTCTTCTACCCAGCAAGTAAGTTAAAACCACAATGTTAATATTATTTTATGACAGGTTTACACCATCTTCTCCTATGTGGTATAGCTAAAGCAACTTGATCTCTGCATTGCATAAAGTAATTATTGAGGTGGTACTTTGTCTTCATCCAAAAGAAGATTTTTACATGTCAGTAACTTGTAGTTAGAGTGCAGTGTTTCAAAACACAAGTTTTCAAAAAGGAAACCATAAAGTAGAACCATAGAACCTGTAACAGTCAAGGTGAACTTACATTACAGTTGCTTGAACTAAACTGGCATTTTATGCAAGTGTATAGCTGGATGTTCCACAGCAGCTGTGTCCATGTGATTTTAACTAATTCAGCACTGTCCAGCTCAGCCTGTGGGCTGGATCCAGCCCCTTGGAGAAGCTTCCACCTGACCCATCACCCTCTCACTGCGGGAGACAGGGGACAGCTGCTCCTTCAGCAAATGTACCCCCTGCACCTGCCCTCTCCAGAGAGAAGACCAGCAAGTCTGAAGGGGCGGAAGGAAGGTGAAAGAAGCCTGGGAGGTTTGTCAGCACCTCTGCCTGGCTCATGCAGGTGCTGCCACTGAGCAAGCCACAGCACATCTCTGTGCTCAACTAAATACATCAGCCAGGCCGGCACACATTCCTGTGTTTGTGTGTGCAAGAGCAGCTCATTCCTCTCTTACAAACAGAAGTTCCTGTTATACAGACAATGCAAAATGTAAGGCTTTTGCTGTTGTTTTATTGACTTACTATAAAATCAGCATGTTGAAAATTATTTTACTTTGGAGAGTACTTCTAGACATTTCTTGTATTCCTCTTCTTCTGGTTCTGTGTGTGAGTAGTGAACAGTGTAAAGCAAAGGGCACTTGTATGCTTATGATTATGAAGGCATTTGGATGAAGAAATTCCGCAGAGCAGTATATTTACTTTGCATTTCTAAATGGTAGCAATTAAAACTCCCGGCTTCTGGCTATCCAGATGTTTCTTGCATTACAGCACTGTAATGTGCATTGGAATATATTGTGTTACTGCAGTGGCTGTAAAGTGGTCAGCTTTCAGTCTAAATGCTGTATCAGGGCTCCAGTTGGGATGGTGAACATATTTCCTGCTCATACCAGGTTCCTCTCCTTCCCACTGTTTCCACACTCTGTTAGCTTGACGTGTTTGTGTTTCTCAGATGAAGACTTTTACTGCTCAGCATTTGAATCAAGCAGGGGATGTATCAGCAGGTCAGAAGTGATGTATGGTTTGTTTCTTGTAAGAGTGAAAAAAAGGAAAAAGGACGGAAGTTTTGAATCAGAAATTTCCCTTTGGCATTTCCAGGCAGCAAACATCCCTCTGGTGTCAGAGCTTGGCATTGATGATATCCATTTTGATGACTTCTCGCTTGATGTGGATGCCATGATTACTGCAGCCCTGCGGATGTTCATGGAACTTGGAATGGTTCAGAAATTTAAAATTGACTACGAGGTAACCATCTGCGCTGCACATATCTGCTGCTTTTGTCTTGGCACTGCTCTGTCCATTTGTACACATTTAGTAGCCCTGCTACAAATTGCACTTTGAATTTCAGACGCTGTGTAGGTGGCTTTTGACGGTGCGGAAGAACTATCGCATGGTCCTGTATCACAACTGGAGGCACGCTTTCAACGTCTGCCAGCTGATGTTTGCCATGTTAACTGTGAGTACCTAGCTACACAGCCCCCAAGAGCTTCTACTGCTACACTGCCTAACCTGGCTAAACATTTGCCAGCATTGAATTTCTTTTCTAGTTATTATGCTACTCATTTCCAATAGCAAAGCAGACAGAATTTATTCAACTTAAGGCAGCACATATTTGGCAAAACCTTATAGTGTTTTAGTGACAGTGATATCATAGGCGCATTAAAGTGACTGAAAACAGATGGCAGTCTTGAAGTGCTCTTGTTATTACAGATCTTGATCTTACGAAATGTTTTTCCTTTGGAAGTCTTTGATTTGACATTTATTTCAAACTCCTAATTGGGAAGTACAAAACCAAGGATTAGAATCCCAAAGTATTTATTATGTTGATATTTATTATCTCTTTATCCAGCTTCATCTAAATAGTTTTGGAAGGTACTGCCTCAAAAGATTTGAAAATTATTTTCCAGCATAGTTATCTAAGTGAATCTTGAGTCTCCACTGGACACTGTTAACACTTAGGGGTTTTATTAGCATGTATCTCCAGCAGTACCTGTAGCTCCTTTCAGCATACAAGTAAATTCTACTGAAATTTAAAGTAAATTTAAATTTACAAGTAAATTCTGCTGAAAGTACCACTGCTAACATACTAGAACAAGCATACCTGCTCTCTCGCCCTACCCCACAGCAACCTCACTGTGGGAAATAACCCATATCTAGCTAGTTCATTCTTGTAAATGTACCAACAAAAAACTCAGGGGTCCTGGATGCCAGAATTTTGCATGTTGGGCATGAAAAAGAGACTCTGACTTCCCCTAGCAGGTCATTCTAGTGCTTGGTCAATCCCAGCAGGGTGGGTGTGTTTCTGTCAGTGTTGATGGAGGCATAGTGAAGCTGTACCATGCACCACGAGACAAAGGAAAGGAAGCTATCCAACGAGAGAACCTCTTCCAATGGGCGTGAGGCTGCTCAGCTGTGCAGAATGAACATTGTTTCAGCAGGCACTTGCTGATGGTCTCTAAGGAAATTCGGTGGTAATGCCTGGGTGCTGGTAGTTTTTATGGTTTTATAAACTTGACATGCCTTTTTTTTTTTTTTCCCCCAGTTTTAGAGAAAGAAAAAGCATTTTCCTCTGATGAATACAGGCAAAGGCGGGCAGCGCCGCTGGGTGTGAATTACAGTAATTTGTGCCGGAGGCTGCCGGGGCGGGGAGCCCCCAGCCCCAGCGGTGACACCCCTAGGTGGAGCTCCGAGGCCAGGTTTGCGGCACGCTGCTCTGCCCGTGGGAGCGGCCACCTCCATCCCGGCGGCTCCAGCAGCCACCTGCCCTGCCTCCGCCGACAGATGCTCTGACCGTGGCTCTCGCGGCGTAATTTCAGAATCCTTTTAGCAGTCAGCACAGGGGTGCAACTGTCTGTGAGATGTGATCCGGCATTTTTAAGCCAAGTTCATTTCCTTGCCCATGCTCCTGGTAATAAACAGAATGAGCAATTCCATGTGCAGGGCTGGATGTGAGTGGCCGCAGCACTGGAGTCTCCACACATCCCACCCCGCTTGGCTCTGGCTCTGGCTGGGAACAGAATAAGTTCAGTGTGTGATCTGTTTCGTCTGCTCTCCCTTCAGGATACAGGAAGATTAATTTGTGCAAAAAAAAGACACAAAAGAGAGACTTGACATTAGTAATAATCCAAGGCTTGCTCCTACTGCATTTGTCTTGGGGATACCATCCAAGTTAGCGTGTGCCTTCTTTTTTCACTGGTAAAAGGGGGAAAATTCTTAGACAAAACCCCTTGAAGGGCTTATCAGAGCCCTTCTCTGCCACTCAAAAAGGCATTGCTTTGTGCATTTATTGCACCTTATTTCTGATTTCTCCATGACAGTGAACAATGTAGACTGCCCCACAAATAGAAACCAGTAATTCTATTTTAGGGCGTTTTCAGGTGGGATTTACCATAGTATAGTCATAGCTAACCTATAGTGCAGTAGCCTCTAAGGACCCCACCATACTCCCACTGAATGCACAAGGAAAATTCAGCTGTGTTGAACAAGTCAAACAGAGAAAAATTCTGTCAAAGTCAAAAAGAGAAATTCAACAAAGACTAAACCGTTGTTTCACTCCTGGCAAACTCAGCCTTTTGCATATCTAAAGTATGTTCCTGTATGTCTAAGTATGTATTTTCTCTCTCCTGAGCAATCACAAGCCCAGTTCTGCAAGCCATAGTTCTGTATTTCAGATGCCCAAGAATTCTGAAGACAAGCACTGCAGCAAGGCTGCTCTTCAAGTTAAGGGAGTACCTGAGAGTAAAGTGCAGGATCAAGCCCAGGCTTCATTATCAGTGCCTTTGCCAACACAGTTCACATTGATACTTATTTCAAAGGGCAAAAATGAACAAGTAAGCAATACCAAATTAAAATCCCATCTGGTGTGCTAATAACAAAACATATAGATGTGGGGCAAGGTATAATGAATGCAATTCATTTCCTCACATGAAAGAATGACCTCCATAACTCACTGGAGACTCTGCCACTCATGAGTTATGGGTCATTCCTTTTCTGGTGAAAATAAATTTTACTGCACTATCGTCTATTGCCATGTTTGTTTGTTTTTTTTTTTTTTCCTCTTGTAAATTCAGAAATGAGGAAATGCAATCCTCTGTTTATTTGCATTATATTCAAAGAAGATATTCCCTTACTGTAGCATTGTTTTAAATGAAATGTTTTTTACTACGTGACATATGCTGTATTTCTTTCATATATTCAGTGACAAGACTTTACATTAAATAAAATGTGGCATTTATTTTTGAGATATTGCTACTGTTAATAAATTCCTTAATTGTTTTCCCTGCATTTGCAATACAGGTTGAATCCTTTAATTTAATCAAAGTTTGGATTACACTAAAGAATATTTATTACTACATCAATTTCATATTATAAAACTTCCCTTTTAAGTTATTTTAACTTAGCCATGAATATTTTCTCTAGACTGAAACTTGACACATGGTGTTGTCAGTTACAAACTATTTTTAATCCCTTTTTATAAATAGATTTTTATTATTTTTTGTTATACAAGAGCTATGTTTAAAAAAATAAAAAGAGAAAATGCTATTTTTAGAGGATTCTTTTCTAATTGGGTACATGTTACTGAAACTAAAACAAAAACAATGCCACTAGAAATCAGGTGAACCTCTTTCCTAATATCCAAGTTATTCAGTACACTGGTGGATTCTACACAAAATTAATTAATCTTTTTTTTCTTCATGCTTGATCATATTTTCTGCTGTGTGAAGTTTAAGGAATTATAAAGCTTTTGTAGCAAGTCTTGCATTTCTTCAATTCCCACTGCAGTGCATTCCTGAGCACCTGGGGGAACTTGGCTCCCTGAACTGTTTAAGTACTAACTGCAGCCACATTTCAAACTGTCTAAACAGAAAATACTTAGATTTGAATGTGCATTTCTCTAAGTAGCATTTGTGGTCTTCGGGGTGAATAGCAGAGCTTTCACAGAGTATTGCAGCAATTTACTGATGTTTCTGTAAGTTCCTACCAAGGAAGGGAAACAAGTCCTCCTGTATCACTTAAACTCCCTTCTTGCCAGTGGGTGAAATTATGCCCCCTTTGAAAATCAATGATATTTGGAAATTCTTAAATGGTGTCGGTGTTCAGCCTTGGTTTGGTCCTCCAATACAAATGTATTTCTTGTATATAATTTCCTTTCATGCTACCTAGATCATGTGGCTCATTTAGGAGTGTCACTGGAGACTGACAGTGTGAAAAGACGAGTATTCCGATTTTCCAGCTCAGCCAGTCATTTTTGCTGTTTATATTCTATTATGCCCTCCTGCTTCTGAAGAACCTGGTTGTTTCTGCCATGGGTAAGAGGCACAGCACCAGTGGTGCCCCACAGAGGCTCTAGCACCTCCTCCAGACATGATCTGTTCAGGATGCTTGAGGTTAGCAATAGCAGTAAGTGTTTTTTCTCTGCCATGAGCTCGTTCAGGCAGGAAGACTGCTATGACAAGTATCCAAGAGGAGAAGCATAGTGATAAAAAATGTTTCTAGGATTAACTCCCCCATTCACACAATCATGTCTGAGCTGGTTGTAGGGAATTTCATTGCGTCTGTTTTCAAATGCTTCTCCCAAATTCAAGTGGGTATCTGCAGCAGAAATTTGAGACATTCCCTCTTTAAATCATGCCACTTCATTTCAAAGTGCCAGATTGAAAAAAAATCTAATAGTTCATAACAGTTCCACAGAGTATATTTTATCTGGGCTCTTTTAAAGGTCTTCCAACTTAACATGTCAGCTATCTCTGACAGTAGGAATTGACTAAGACGGTCACCTCACGATTGAAGAAATCTTTCTAAGTACTTCTCTAAATAATAATTTTAAAATTTTATCAGTTTAGTTTTCAGGTTTTTATTTCTCTGATAAAAAAATCCAGTTCCTGTCTCAGTTTGCAGTTACTGGTATTTGTTTTCAGCTCTTTTTGCCTTTAGTGTCTCCTGGCTAGCAGAGAAATGGCATGCTGGAAATGCAACAAAGAGATAATAACAGATCACTCCAAGGACATTATCTATTCTGCTAACCATCTGACATACAGCAGGGAATAGAATATGACAATAAAGCATTTATCTTCTCCTTACTGAAACGTTCATGGTATCAAAACAAAGTTGACTGTTGCTGGATGGACTAACATTACTTATCCCTTTTGCTACTGATAGTTACAGCTGCTTTTTTTTTTTTTTTTTCCTGCTCTCAGACCGCAGGATTTCAGGAGATTCTAACTGAAATTGAAATTTTAGCTTTGATTGTGGGATGCTTGTGTCACGACCTTGACCACAGGGGAACCAACAATGCCTTCCAAGCCAAGTAAGCTTTCTAATTCTTACTATTTTAATTTGGTTTTCTTCCACAGGAGAGCAAAAGGTGACCAGGATAAAGAATGAAGCATTAATTTCAAGCCTTCTAGGCCAAGGCCAAGTACTCTTATTCCTGTGTGCAGTGAGGGACTATCCATCTTTATCATTCTCTGTTCCTTTAAGTAATTGCTGGCTTGTCCTTTGTAGCTGGCTGTTGAACTGACACCACATATTGAAATGTGGTGCCAAAACTTGATGTTCTTTTCAGGCTCAGCTGTTATTGATTCTGGTTTTCAACCCAGAAAGCACCTAAATTGTCTGTCTGGGTTGTTCTTGCTGACTGGGGTGCATGGCATTAAGCAAAACCTTTTTCTGCTATTGCGAAGAAAATAAAATAAGTGAAATTGAAATAATGCTTTCACAGAAATCAGGCTCCTGCCAGTGAAGTAGAAGTAGGTTTGTAGGTTTAAGAGTGGTACTTCTTACTGTGTAGGTAAGGGAACTCCTTAGACTAAGGTCAAATTCATTCCAAAATCTGCCTTTCCTGAGAATAGGAGGGACAATAGAAAATGTCTCCAGTAACATCCTGGCCAAGCTGTGAAATAAAGCTGCCACACGCAGAGATGCCTTCAAATCCCATGTTGTTTTCTTGCTCCCCAGTACCTCTACAGTCAGAATATGAGGCCCCAAGGCATTCCTGTCCTGCAGATCCCAGTGTGCATTTGTAGCTTTTTCTGTTGTGCCTTACTGCTAATCCTCCAGTGTGATGGGGGAGTGGTCAAACGGTTGTCCAGAGATATTTGAAAGGCAGAGTGATACTGTATTAGCCTATTTTGTCCTACTTTTGCAGAAGTACTCTGCTGCAAGGTGTGTATGCAGGGACTACTGCATTTCGGGGGGCAAGTTGCCTCAGTGACCATCACTCAAACTGATGTTTCTGATGTTCACTAAGCTGCCATTTCCTGAGGTATTGGTGTTGCCATACAATCTCAATGAAACAATGACACTGTCTGGATCTTCAATCACCACAGCAGGGAAAATCAATTGCAGTGCTCAAAAGACAGAGCTCGTGGTGCAAAGGTTACCAAGCACTGCTAGATGCCTTTTTGCAGCTGAGTCTTGAAGAGAATCAAAATAGACGAGACAAATGGGAAGGAAGCTCAGCTGATTGATGTTTATGTTCCCAATTTACAAAAATGAGACCTAAGATTTACATCCTGGCCATTTTAGGCTCTGATTAAATTAACCACTTCTCTGCTGTACCATTATACAAGAGTATCCTTTGTGCAGAGGGATGGCTGAGTTAAAAGTACAGGGTTCAGCATTAGACTGCTATCACTCATACTTGTTTGACAACAGAGTATGGAGAGGAGGCTACCATTTTATGACTCCATAAAGAAACTGCTGAAGACATTTAATGAAAGACAAACATTACCACACATGTATAAAACATCCCTGAAAACAGAAACTGTAGTTTTCATAACGCTAACTATGATTTATTCCTCTAACCTGACATAAATTTAAGCATCACATTTTCCTATTTTATCTTCACTGTCCAATACTACTGTTCTGTATGATGAAGGCTCAAGAGGTATATGATAGAGGCAATATCACAGTTGTCTCAAATGGCTCTGTTATATATGTCAATATCACATTCTCTAGGGATGATGTTTCCTGGACATTCTTTTCTCTCATATAGCTGCATCTGATAATTAAGTATCAGCATGGTGCAGTTTTATGGTATATGCTCCTAGGAGACTCTTTCTGTCTCTAGCATAATCTCTTATTCTCATTTCTTTGGAAAGAAAGCCCGTCTTCTCACTCTAGGCTGGGTCCCAGAAGTGAAGTACTTTGCCTGAACTACTTTGTACTGGTGAACAGTGACCATTCTGACAATCCAGTCCCATTCTCTGCAATTCCCAGCAATTTGCAATATTATAATGTTATTCCATATATTCTTGCCCTTTAGACATATAAAACTGACCTGCTCTGTTCATTTTGAATCTGATTTTGGTTTAGACAATAAATATGATGAGAAAATACATTCTAGAGATATGCTAAGGTATACTTTTATATTCACTGCTCTCACTTGTGTTTTTTTGTTTACCTCTAGTATTTGCAGTTGGGTTTTTTGTTGTTGTGTTTTGGGGTTTTAATTTAAGGGTTTGTAGTTGGCCATTGTAAGCCCTTTGTTTATGTCTATTAAGAATTAAAAATAAAAGGTAGCAGGGGAACAGCTGATCCCAGCTCAAGGACATTACCTTGTGTCCTTACTGCGCAGTTCTGTGTCTGTGCTGTTGTTGAGGCACTTGGAAAGCTGCATTACAAAATTTCTTGTAATTCCAGAATAATCTTTAGTCAGCTGGCAATATTTAGCAAAGAATGGAACATAAATGCTTATATCTGGATTTGAATTAGTATTTTGATCTCATCAGCTGTCTTAAGTGAGGTTGCTGAAGTGGAGGTGGAGAGTGTGGCTACGTGCTTTTGTCACTAAATTGTCTCTGAAACCTGCTTCGTAAGCAGACGAGCAGGATTTGTTGACTTCCCATGTTCTGTTTCAGGAGTGGATCAGCCTTAGCTCAGCTCTACGGCACCTCTGCTACCTTGGAGCACCACCATTTCAATCATGCTGTCATGATTCTCCAAAGTGAGGTACAAAAGCATTACTATTAATCTCACTGTAAGCTGTTGGGCAGTTTCAGCTGGAGAAAGGAAATACCATGTACAGTACCTTTTTAATGCCCTCTCCTTGAGGAATTATTTATTGGTTACCACAAAGGTCACAACTAGCACAAAATTAAACAACTACAAATGCTGATCACAGAGCCCAGAGATTATATCTGTCTCAATCAGCAAGGGGCAAGGAGAATACATCCTAATCATATTGTCAGCTTTTCTCACTCTTCTTACATATATCCTGCTCAGTGGTTTAGAGGTAGCTGAAACAGGTGCTTACCTTTCCCCACAGGTGTCATATTCAGAGTATCAGAGCCATCCTTTACTGCACCAATTTAATTTCTTCAGCAGCCTTTCTGTAATCAGTATTTTTATGATTTTTTTCATAATTTAATACACTATTTTTAAAAATTAAAATCACTAATATCATGCTGTCCAAAGTATATTAATTGCTTTGCAGATACCTGTGAAGACAGAGCTCTTGCCTAGAATATCTTGCATATAACACTATACAGCATATACTACACCATGTATTTAATAACTGAGAGAAGTGGAAGAATGGACATAGAGTCCTTTCAAAACAACAGATGCATTTTCTTAATTTACAGAGACTGGTTGCTACAAAATGCATTTAGTAAATATAAAACCAAAACTGCTGTTCATGCAGCACAATTGAAGACCACAGCCTGATCTGCAGTAACTTCTGAAGAGATCTGGAATGTCTCATGCTCACAGACAAATGGGAAGAGGGTGATGGCTTTACCTCTGTGGACACTGCCAAGGAAATTTGTCACGGAACTGCACCTCCCCAGACCTTATTTCATATATGTCCTCATACCATCATGATTATAGTAACCCTGTTACTGGAAAATTCTTGGTTTTAAGGGCATTTTAAACTTCCTAAGCAGTAGATGGCAGTGCATACTGAATGTGGGCACTACAGGACTAAATATCACCAAAATAAGACTCTGGTTAGAAAGACCTTCAATATTTATGTAGGTGATTAGGGAAAAAAGACCTGTAATACATTTATGTATGCTAATATATGTGACTGTTGTCACAAAGTAATTCCTTAAGATTACATTTAGATTTTTTCATTAATTTTGTTTCTTTCATCTTATTTTCTCAAGAATTTCACAGAGGAATTATAGGATCTCTGTCCCTCTTGTTTTCAGAAATCCAGTTACAAAAGAACCTTCCCCCTCTCAAACAGCAACATCAAATAATTAATTTCCTTTCATTTTGGCCATAGAGCATCTTTCAAATTCTTAATCCACAATCCCTTAAAAAGCAGCCAGTTGGGCCCACAAAGGGTGTTCAAATTGCATATAAAGTTGTGGTTCTTTAGGCCACATAGGCAATGGCTGTATACACTGTAGGACAAGACAGTAATGGGCAGAGTGAGCAACTGGGCTGCTTTGAATGAAAAACTGATTTAGTGTCCTTGACTGCTCTAACAGCAGTTTGGGTGCACGCAAGCAGCAGCACAGATAAATCTATTAGGATCACTACTCAAAATCTCCAATATGCAGCTCCCCAAAACATTTAATAAGATGAAAGACTGAGATGTATCCATAGTTTTTCCCCATAAACTGAGTCTGTGCAGGGTCAGAGCAGAGAGTAAATCTTTACTCGACAGGCTATAATTTCAGCAGAGTTTAGAAAAACATACCAGGTGCTTGATAACAATCATCCACTCTTCTGCCTCAATGTAATCTCAGCAGTATTAGCATTATTATTTCATCATAGTTTTGCCATGAATCAGAAAAGGCTTGTGTTACAGGGAAACAGTAAACTAACAAGTTAGAAAACTTTTTAAAAAACTATTGATTGTTAGCCCTTTACCTCTTTTATCTCTTTCATTATAGGGTCACAACATCTTTGCTAACTTGTCCTCTAAGGACTACAGTGACCTTATGCAGCTTCTAAAGCAATCGATATTGGCAACAGACCTCACTCTGTATTTTGAGTAAGTATTGGCATTTCTGGTATTTGATGGATGAAAATTCAGAGAACTTACTCTAATGACCTATTAAATACCAATAAGGATATATAATATGAGAAATTAGTGTTCAGCTATGGTTGAAGAGTTTTATTCTAATACTTAGTATCTTTTAGACTAATAGATATATCTCAAGTGTCCAAATACATTTTGCTTTAATGTGTAACATGTCTTTATCAACCAAAAGCCAGTGAAATTCTGTATTTATACTTCAAAGCAATCCCAGGAACCAGTTACAGCTCAGTTCCATAATTTTTCTGTCCCTTCTATGATCATTTCTTCAGGCACATAGAAAATCAATGACATTTGAGAATTCTTTTCCACCATTTCAGCATTTCTAAACACTTGTGCTAAGAAATATCGTATTTAGTTACAGACCCAGTTACAGACACTTTGCTGTTTTGAAGACAAATTATGCCAATTCACATCATGTGATGAGAACAGGTCTTAAGAACCTTAACTGTGGAGAAGTACACTAGGATCTCTCTCACCCAGTTTTCTTCCCTTTCCTTGTTTGCAAATCAAATCTCAAAGTAGATTTCAAGTTGGTCCTGTATTTCAAATATTGTTAATTATTACCAAGCTCATCTCACTGAGGATGTGTGGGAGGATGCACGTAGTCAGAGGAGTAATGGTGTAACCATCACAGTGCACTTCTGACGTCTGCATTAGCCTGTGGCTGACTTAGGGGCAGCAGCGCTGACAGATGCGCAGTTTCAGTGCACTACCTTCCCAGTCATGACAATAAGTTATCCTTAGGAATTTTTGTTTGGTGTCCACTAGCATTCTATCCTGTCTGTCTTTCTGCCATATCTCAAGTGAAAGGATTAGAGTTGTACCAGGGGAAGTTTAGCTTAGATATTAGAGAAAAAAATTCACTAAAAGAGTGGTTAGACATTGGAATAAGTTGTCCAGGGAGATGGTGGATTCACCACCTCTAGAAATATTAAAGACTTGTGTTGATATGGTGCTTAGAGGGAATATGGTTTAGGGGTGATTATGGTGGTGCTGGGTTGACAGTTGGACTTGATGACCTTGAAGCTGTTCCATTCTGTGAGATACAAGGACCATAGGTCCTCTTGTCTAATCATAAATAAATGCTGCAGAAATTTTTGTGCTCTCAAGGAGGAGATGAGTGACAGGGACTGAGAGGACAGCTGCACTGACACAGCTCCATGTGCTCGCCCTGGCCGAGATCCTGGAGGAGCCAGAGGGGGCTCATGGCAGTGCCTTGGGATAGACCCTGTTCAGACCCAGATGTGATGGAGCTCTCTTCCCTGCCTGCCTTAAGCTGAAAAACTATGTGATCAAGTTCTTTTTCTAGTTTTAGCACAGAGAAATTATGTCCAAAAGGGACATAACTGAATTTCAAGATTATTTTTTCTTACTTGCATAACTGATTTTTTGTGCTGCATGAATCAGAAGACTTTTAGCAAATGAGGCCTCTTTACTCAAAAGTCTGCAGATAAATTATTTCTTCTTCTTGTGTTACAATGATTCATTAATGAGGTAGCTATGCTAGTTTATTTTCAGAAGTGCCTGAAAATCACTCTCTAGAAACATTGGTGCTTTACATTTCTTAAAGCCACCCTATGTGAACAGGTGTTTCTACGCAAGTACCTAGTTTGTTTTTTCAGTTTGCTACATCTTCAACATTTTTGTTGAGAGGGGAATTCTCATATCAGTATTCTTAAAATGACTGAATCTAATGATCACAAGCTCCAGGTACTAAAACAGTAAAAAAATTGTTGTAGAGCAAGATTTTATGAGCTTCTCAAGGCATTACTTTTATACAAAAAACAAAAAGATGACTCTCACTGAAAGATCAGATGGGAAATGTATTTGATTTTAGTTTATAATTCTAGATAACGACACTTGTAGATAAAATAGCAAGTAAAAGCATGGAACCGAAGTTAAGTTTATGGAAATTCATCCAAATGATGTCTTGAGCCATTGGGCTGTAGCACAAATGAATTTGTTATACATAGGAAAACAACTTCCCTTCGAGGCAAAATACAGCCAGAGTCAATGTTACTCAAAGACCCTGGAAAATTTTTATAACTCAGTTAGTTTCTGAAATTCTGCCATATTATATTTGCTTATTAATAGAAAACCTCATCATTTTGGATACCAAAAAAAACATTAGGAAATGCTAAATTGTTTCATTGGACATGGCTGCTTTCCTCCACTTCAGTCCTTCCCACACTGAAACTTCTCTGTGGAGCCGGACTACTACTTCTGTATCCATTTAAATGGATTTCAAAGAAAATCCTTAAAGCTTTTAGCTTAACATAAGGCCTTGAGACTCACATTTTTGGTTACTGTTTATGGATCTCTACATTTTAAATGTGAATAGTTTAAATTTTTGGGGTGTCACATTCCTGGGCTTTCAGCTTTAAACATTCTTGCCTGGTTTTTGTTCAGGAACATATGAATTTCTCAGAATATCCAATACTTCAAAATGAAATATTTTTTTTCCCAAAGTATAAGGGATTGGATATCATCATGCAGTCATTTATAGCCCTCTTCTAGCTGCTGAAAGAAATCCACTATAGAAAGGCCCTATAGTAGGAGTGACTGGTCATATATATATAACCATGATAGTCAGGGACCAGAATAATGCAACATGCCCCACATAATGTTCTGGAACACAGAGTTTCTGGAAGTGTGCATCTCCTTGTATGCAAATATGTCCTGGCTGCCATGAGACTGCACTGTCAATAATCACTGTCCAAAATTTCAGTCTAGTTGAAGTAAACGTAGAAAATACAAGACTGCAAACTCTCTCCTGTTGAGGAACCTAAATACATTTCCTCTTGACAAAGAGCACAGTCTCATATGAGATGGGGCACTGCACTGTCACTCAGGATGTCGGTATTTATTTGCTTTCCAGCTTTGATGCTCATATGTTGTGTTACTGGGGGCAAGTTGCTCCAAGTTTTTGTACCTCAGCTTCTGTCTTGGGCAGGATCTATTACATACTGTAGTCACATTGCAAACAGTAAGAGCTGCTTGGAGGCTCAGTGCCATAAAAGATTACAGACTATGATGAAGCAGAATTTTGATGCTTAAAGGCACCAATCAAGCATAAATATGTTCTGTGCATCTCGCGTTTTGTCCCTTTTTGAGGACGTGAAGAAGGTGTGAGAAGACAAACCATGGACTAAGCAGGGAGACCTAGTTTCCAGTCTATAAGAACTATGAACCCAAGACAGCAGCAGCTCCTGTGTGTATCTGTTTCTTTCTGTGTGCTGGAAATAACAGGAATTGCACAGCTCTGAAAAACCCTTCAGGATGTAAAAGTAAAAACCATTTTGCAAGGACAAGAAAACAGAAGCATGTGTGTATTTCTGGGGTGTTTCTATTGTCTATCTGTCCACTGCTGTAGGTGAACATTTCATGCTTCCATGGAAGACTGAACATTTCAGAGCCATTCATTTCCTTATTTGTGGAGACCATAAATCCAATATTGCTTTTACTAGGCAACTCTGACATTGATAACAGACATTTATAGAACGTGTTCGGAAATTAGTATGTTTCGCTTAAATGGACTGTCAGTGTAACGGCCCTAACAATAATACATGAGGTGCAGTGATTCCGTATCACACAGAGAACCGTGTTACTGCTGCAGTGCTGCCCTGCAAATGTCTTATTTCCTTCTCTGACAATCTGGTTTTTTGCAGGAGAAGGACTGAGTTTTTTGAGCTTGTCAGTAAAGGTGGTTATGATTGGAATATAAAAAACCACCGAGAAGTATTTCGGTAAGCACCGTTTTTTCTTGCTTTCTGGTTATTTCAAAGTGTAGCCATATTTGTTAAAGGAATTTCTTGTATTCTTGTGGACTGGAGGCTTAGAATAACAAGAGAAAGTATTTTGTTTTAAAAATACAATCCATGATATGAAATGCACTATATGATTTTTCAACATTAGCAAACAGCCAGGATTAATCAACATAACTTCACCTTCTCCATTTCTCCTACTCACTTAGTCCTGTTTTCTTCCCTTTCTCCCAGCCTCACCAGTTGCTATTCAGCCCTTCTGCTCTTTTTCCAGAAAGTATCAATATTCTGCCTCTCTACACAAAGATCTTTCCTGTTTGTTTCCCTGATCCCTCTTCCTCTCATCTGTCTTTTTTCACTAGCCATGCACTTCTCTGCTCTTCCAGTCTGTACCTGGGAATTTTCATATACAGAGTACTCTTCCAGCCCTCAGGAATGCCCTCAGCATGCATCCTATTGAAAACCTCGAACATTGTGGGTGGTTTGAGTAGATCACACTTTGTAGACAATAAAATGTGTGTATTTGCATATGCATGCCTGGTTATGTCTCATTTTATCTGAAATTTCATTAAAATTCTGTTATCTTTTGGTCTTTTGACAAAATATCGGCCATTTTCTATTTTCCATACCATTTCACCCATTCCTAATTTTAGATTCAGGCAATATATTTGATGCTTCATTTTCAGTGCCCTTGTTCTTCATTTAAACTTTCTTAGACTTTTATCTGCATCATGTACTGTACATAAACGCTTTCTACAGCTGAACGGTTTCCTTCTCCTAATGCATATAAAACATGGTTGTAGCTAGATATTAAACTACAGTGGAACCATATAGCTCACAGTAAATCTTCAATTTTTATTGTAGATGAGCAGTAGAAACTGCTTAAACAGTGTCTGGGATGCCTCCTGTGATTATAGGCTCTCTTGCTACAGCAGTCACTTACAAATAGGCATATAAATTAATCCAGTTGCAGGTGTTATTATGTAATAATACCCTTACTTATATCATGTGAAGCACATGCTTTCTAATATATTATAGGTATTAATGTAAGTAGTGTTAGAAGTATTGCAAAATTAGCAGTTACTCCCTTGCAATATCATTTCTTTTCTAGTGTGCAATGCAGAATACCAAAATTCATCATCTTATGACCTGCAACACATTAGGATTCTGAGGCACAATTGTAATGTAAAAGGCTCGCTGATGGCTAAGATTTCAAACATGTCATTCTTTTCTGGAGGAAAAGAAGGTGCCAGGGCTGACATTTTATATACGTATTATTTATTTATGCATCCAGAGCAGAGTAGTTTAGAAATTCAACAAAGGTTGATTCAGCTTGTATTGTTCATTTCTGTTTTTCAGATCAATGCTAATGACAGCCTGTGACCTTGGAGCTGTGACCAAACCGTGGGAGATTTCAAGACAGGCAAGTCATGATTAATAGCAGGGCTGGGAGGAGGCGGGACTGGCAGGACAATATTCCCAGGGCCCTGGCTTACAAGGGACCAAAACTGGAATCAATTTACAGCAGTATTAATGCTATAAAAAAATAGCAGGGGGTTTCTGCAAAAAATGGTTTATTGCGTAATCATTCCCTGTACACATGCTGGTGTGTACATCTGGCTTTACAACCTCTCCTCTTACTAACATTTCAAATCCATATCCAAAAATGGATGGATAAAAAAAAAAAAAAAAAAAAAAAAGGCATTTAGCCACATATAGCTGCATTTACTTGTTTCATCCCAAAGTTTTCCTTGGCAGTGGCAGGGTCTTCCCTAAATCAAAAATACCGAGAGATTTTCTGCAAATTTTCATTAGCATAAAATCTTCAGTAGATATGATAAAAGAAATGTGTTCATTTTCTTAATAATCTTGCAAAACTCCAAGTGCAGTACAGGGCTTCCTTTAACATCCTGTATCTAGAAACCAACAAATAAAAATTCAGAGTTTTGCCTCTGAGTAGGCTCTTTAGAAATATACATTAAAAATAGATTCAGCACTGGCAAACAGGTACAATATGAGAAAGCAACCTGTCCCAAAACTCATATCCTTTGCCCCATTATTTTCTCTCTTCTAGACATCTTTGTCTACCTAGAAAACATCCTTAATATTTCCAGTATCTATGCCAGTCATTCTCTGTCCTTCAGTGAGGCCCAGAAAAAGCCAGTAGAAGACAGACTGTATCAGGTTTTGGAGGAATTGACAGCATCAAGAAACAAACAGAAACCATACCCGTGCAGCTGGGTTTGGGTACACAGCTGGAGGAAGTTTGGTGCAACAGCAAGTAATAGTTACAGAGATGGGGTGGGAAAGAGAAAACTAGGCCAAATAACTGGTGATGCGGAGCAGCCAGGTTCCTTGGACAAGGAAGTATTAGAAGCTGGAAAGGATCTATGGAAGGTACATGCACATCAACTGAATAAAAAAAAAAAATTTATGGAGGGAGGGCTTCACCTCAGTTTTGTCAAGTGAGTCTTTTTTGCTTTATCAGCAGACTGTGACAGTTCTTCTAAGGCTGTTGCTCTACTTGGCCAGAACATAGTCACCTCTCATGGAAATCAGGAAATCTGCTTCTATCCTGCAGTGGGAAATTGAGTAACAAGATTTTTCAGTGCCTCCTGGCCACTGCTGCAGTGTGTGCAATCCCTCCTCATTTTTCCTCCTTAACCCAGTTAGCTTCTGCATTTTCATTGACAGCCAAATGTCAGGCATGGTCTGCTTTCCTAGTTTCTGCTGTGCTGCTGAATTAGTGCTGGAGTCTCTGGCAAACTGGGGTTTTTTATACTTATCAGTCTTGAGGTCTACAGGTGAAAAGTCCCCTGCAGCTTAGTTATACAGGTTTACTTTATATTGAAAAATCCCACCTGGGATTTCCTGAAACATTACCTGATTGAGCAGAAGTGCTAGTAAGTCCACAGAGGCAAAACAGGAAATAGCTGAACCTTAACTGTGCCACAAGAAAAAAAACAAATATATTTGAAAAAAGGGAATAGAGGCCACATGTAAGATGGAAAAAATCAGGAAGAGAAGATTGAAACAGATAGATAAAAGAGAAGAAAAAGGGACATAAGGAGAACAGGATCAGAATAGCACTGAAGGACACTGATGATACTATGCCATGATTATTTTCATACAATACACTTAGCAAACCCTTAATTGCTGATAAGTTGTTAAATTATTCATCTTATCTGGAATATTGATCCAGAATTTTATTAAGATTTAAGAGTACTTTATAACATCACCTACTTCCAGATTATTTTGGTACTCCCTATTTCAACTGCAACAAGCTTAGCATTTGTGAACATTATCTACCATGCAGTTGCTAAAGCAAGAAATTTTGAGATTTTATGACGTACAGGTTCTCTGCTTAGTTTACCCTCTTGTGCCTTGGCACTATAAAATAATTTCCTATCTTAAAAGCAATACACTGGCATGACAGGAGCTTTAGTTTGTGAATGCCTCTTCAGTAGATTGGCTTCCAGTTTTTGAGTAAGTTGTTATAACTGCACTGAGCACTACCTTGCCAGTACAATGTAATTCCCCAAGACAATTCCCTATCAAAAAGGGATAAGTTCCTGTGCCTGACTATGGCTGTTGATACCCCCTGTATGCTCAGTCCAAAAAACTAGTGAACACATGCCTGATTCAGTCCCGTAAGTGAGGTTTCTCACTTTTTTACAGTTAAGCACAGGCTGAAGTCATGGTCTAACCAAAAACTCATTATCCTAAAAATTGTGTAACAAGAACTCTAATCTTTTACCATGATTTTTATTTTAGGCAGCTGAGCTGGTAACCAGTGAGTTCTTTGAACAAGGAGACAGAGAAAGATCTGAACTCAAACTCACCCCTTCAGTAAGTTTTTTATAGTTTCTGAAATTGTTTGAATAACTGAATGTATTATAATAGTTTGAATAGTTTGAATAATTTTAATAAAGGAAAAAACCATCACTGGGCTCATTCAGAAAAATGAACTGTATTTTGTACATAAAGAAAACCTTAGAATAAATAAAAGCTCTGTCCAATAAGGATATGCATTTATAACCCCATATAAAATAGCTCTCCAGTCAACACAATCACTTTTGCCCTTTCACAGTCCTTGAGCCCTTTTTCTCATTCCTTGTATCTATTCCTAAGATTATTCTATCAGTGAATTTTCTAAGCAGCAGGTGTTGGGTTTAATACACAGAACTGAACTAAAAATTCACAGCTACCTATGGAAATCAAAAATGCCAGATTTACTTTGTGTTGCAGCTGTGTATCTGTGTTATTTGAAATGCATTTCTATAAGTATACATGTAAATATACTACTGTGATTGAAGGGATAAAATGGAATTGAGTGGAATAAAGCCAGATGGGTATAAAGTGTCAAACAGGAACTACGAAAGTTTCATAAAGATTTTCACTGAACAATTAGAAAAAGCCTTATCCAGGCTGAATAACTCAAAATATTGAGCAACCATTATCTGGAGGCAACAGGAGAAGGGTAAGGAAAGTATTCTAAAGAATTTAACTGGGAGGAAGAGGGCCAGCCCAAATCCCATCACTGTTTTGCTGAGCTGCAAAACCTTATGTGAGAAAAGAGAAAATTCTACTCAAAGTTATCTGCTTTACATTCCTACAGGAGGTTACTTACTACCTCAACTCCAACTGTGGAGCATTTATTTTACACTATAGAATTATAAACACAAAACACATTCAACCTAAAAGTTTCAAAACAGAATTGAAAACAAACAGTTTATTTTCCACACCAGTCAAAGCAATAGGAAGACACCTGCAAAGATTGATTATGGTTCAGAAAGTGTTCTGGTTGTGAGAATTAGACCATAGCTGCAAAGCGCTGGATGATGTGTCTGTAAAATACTCCAGTGTGAATAAAATCTGACAGTTTTGTTTCCTTCTCAATTCAGGCCATTTTTGATCGGAACAGGAAGCATGAACTACCCAGATTGCAGCTTGAATGGATTGATAGCATCTGCATGCCACTGTATGAGGTAATTTTTATTTACTGCTCCTGTAGAGTCCAGAGGAGATTATTCTTGTCTCTCAAGGGAAAAAGAGTTTGCTTTCAAAGCAGCCTTGAAGGCTATTTGAACTCTCGTCTTACTTTGACTTTACCGTAAGTCTGAATGCCATGAAGAAATCTTCAGATTCTCTGAATCTGTCTGTAAATATCTGTAATGTCTGTAGATTCCCCTCTAAGTTACAGAAGCAGATAGGGCAATTGTTTGCTACATTACGTTTGAGACAAACTGATTGTCATCATGGTGAGGTATGGAGCACTAGAGGAACAGTCTCAGTAGGTGCTGTCAAACTTGTCCAAATCTGTGTGATGCAAAAGGAAACTCAAGGTTGAGCCTTTGCACTTACTTCTGACCCTACAGGCTTGGCCTAGAGTGCACCTTCCCAAACTGCTACAGGGCACTCTAGGCCAAGCCTTTCAGGTCTGTGATAAAACAATTTGTTGTTTAACCTGTGCTTTTTAACTCAGAGTTTACTCTTTTAATTGTGCTTCTGCACAGACTGCCTGGGTGCTTGGCACACAGTGTGTAAACACCCAAGTACTCCTTTATTAAGGCTAAAGGTAACCACAGAACCATTAAGGTTGGAAAAGACCTTTAAAATCATTGAGTCCAATCATTAATCTGGCACTGCCAGGTCCACACTAAACCATGTCCCTAAGCAGCACATCCACAGGTTTTCTGAACATTTCAAGGTACAGTGATTCCACCACTTCCACAGGGCAGTCTGTTCCTATGCTTGACCACAATTTCACAATGAATTTTTTCCTATCAGAACAATACTTCTGCCTTTTTAGATTAAACAGCTTCAGGATTTGAATGGAACAACACAGACTGCCTTATGCCAGCAAAGACTGGCTGGCCAGTGATATCTGAGAAAACAGGAGGATGTTCTCATACAGCATCTTTGGGGAACTGCAACAAGTTCTCTCTATTCCCACTGTACCCTAAACTGCCCAAGGCCTCAAAGCAATGAACGGGTCAGTGATGATACACAGCAATAACAGCTCCCATGTTAACATTAAAATTATCAACTTGTGCCTGACTGTAGCTTCCCTACACACAAATAAAAATGGATTGGCAGTTCCTTTCATTTTATAGACCAGATATAAAACCAATATCATACAATAAGGACACAAGAAAGCCCATAAGAAGGACAACGTGCCCTCTTCCCTCCATACCTTGTGGCATCTGATGCTGCCACGATGGAAATAATGAAATTACTAGCCAGAAGCAATGGCAATTCCTGTTGTAACATGGAGAGCAGACACTTGTGTAAGCCAGGCTGCTGCTTTGCCAAGAGATCCTGTGCCTTTCTAAGGTCAGTCTTTGTCCTGATGAAATAAACTACAGCTACCATTTTCAAAGTTAAGGCAAAGCAAGCATGGAAGAAGAATATACACCTATATTGTTTAAAAGGCCAAGAACATTTTGGACAATATGGGGGGAGGAATGATGGACACTGATCTTGGACAGACACTCTTTAAAAATAATGTTCCTTTCAATAAAATAGCTCATATTGCACTAGAATGCATATTATATCAGAATTCATTATTTCTAATAGCATCTGTAATCCAAAAATGTACAGTAAAGCAGGAAGAGCTGATAATCAGCCCATCCTCTGCATGAGAAAACTACATCTGAGCACTAAAGCTCTGGTTAGTTAGCTCCATCTTAGCAGGAGATCTCTGGGGAATATATTCACATCTGATTTCCCTGCTTTCCACTGTGTTTGCATCATGCTGTGCAGCCATTAGCCTGCTGCTCAACAACTTCAAAAAGAGACACCATCAAACCTGGAAGTCATAGCAGCACCAGCCTTAGGGATAAACAGAAAACTTCATGCCATAGTATCACACTGCAGGAGATTCTCTCTGCAGTGTGGAGCCAAGTTTTAATTTTCATATCCAGCTTAATCAAACTTCAATACACATATCCCATCAGCAGAATATTCAGGCATTGTAAATCCACTGTTTAGGGCTGGCTGAACATTACAACTCTGGCCATATCCTAGATTTTGGGTTGGCATATTTTTACATTCTTTGAAATTCCTGCCATTGTAATACATTGAGGGAACTGCATGTGGGGAGAGAACAGGTTATATCACTACAAATGCAATACAAAGAGATGGAGTGGCAGCTGATAAATCAGTAAAATATTAGTGGTACTATAGCTCATTACTACAGTACTTTAAAAAACCATGTTTAAAAAAACCCACCAACATTTGACGCTTATTTTCAGACCAAAATGACAACATTAAACCATTGAGAACAAAATCAAGGCTTTTCTATTTATTTTTTTCCATGCCAGTGATTAGAAATCCTGAATCCACATGGGATTCTATAGCATCCAGATCCCCAAAAAGAATGATGTGGGGAATGCACCAGTCCCTACCAATGCAGTTGCTAGAGCAGGACCTCATGCTGTGCTCTGTGTTATTTCACGCACACACACACACACATGCAGCAGATGCAACCACTGAATACTGGCAACTCCCATTAAAGTGAGATCAGCAAAGCTCCCTGAAGTTGTCTTTGCTCAAAGTAACTGCCAAGAGCAGGCTATTCCTGGCAGCTGAGGACGTCTGAAGTATGCAATACAGAAGGAACTTCACAGCCCAAACTTTCAGGAGTGCTCTGATGCCATCCCAGTCCTCTCACAGTACCAGAACAAACTTCATCCTCTCTGCAGTCCAAGCTAATGAACTAGGCTACACCAGAGTGCCTATAGGGAGTGGTTCATACTTAAAACAATATATCAACTTTGCAGTATATTTTAGTTGTGGCTTTTCTAGCCTTGTCATTTTCCTCAGTTCTGAAACCTCCTTTGTGGAGATTTGGCTCTATCTGCTCTGCTTTCTGCATTTCCTTAAGATAGCTCAAGACAACTCACTTGGAGGTGCAGTTCTCCCAAGTAAAGGGTAGTGAAGTCTCCTTTATCAGGGAATATGGATCACATTCCTCTGCTTACCAGGCTAGGACTGTCCTTGAGTTTGGCCCCTTTTTGTGAGAAGGGTTACAAGTGACTAGCAAATCACCAAGATCTGTGCAACTTCCATTAGCAGTCCTGACTGCCCCTCCCACCCAGAAGAAAGAAGGTCAGTGATAGAAAAAATCATGTACTACACCATGAGCTACTGTAAAGACTGAAGGTAGATATAGCTATTTTTTTTTAATTAATATATGGAATTACGCACAGTTTTCCTATATCCAAGTATCTAAATCAAAAACCTTTGTGCTTGCTCTGTAAACCTGACTCTGCTCCTGGAACAAGGTAAGCCACAGCTCTGTTCCCTTGCTCTCTCTCCTGTCTGCTGCTCAATGTAGGAATCAAGCCACCTCCAATTTCATATCTTAGTAATCAAATCCATTTCCTTCACACTGTGGATCAAAGGTCTGGGAAGATAAAAGCATCCCAGTTTTTTGTTCATTGCATTTTATTACACTTAGGATATTATAATTTTATTACTTACTTTTTTTGTTACTGTAGTGATCCCATATCAGAGTATTTTTATGTAACAGTGGAACTTTTGCCTTGAGTAGCAGAACAGCAATCCATTTACACTGAATTTCAGATCTTAGGGGCTTTAGTTACACTTTACTGCATTACATTTGCTCTTCATTCAAAACTGATAGTAAGGAAAGCATTTATCAGTAGACATGAGAAACAAGTTTATGAGAATAACAATTGCTAAAGAAAAATGCACTTTTTTGAAACTGTAGAGTATTTCAAACCCACTAATATGCACCAGCTTCAGTAAAAAATAATCTCTTGTTTTGTTAGAATATTCTATAAAGAGGAAGTACATACAAGTAAAGCAGAAAATTTGAAGCATCCCACTGAAAATAAAACACTATGGCTTTGCTGACAGCTGTGTTCACACAGAGAAAGTATTCTGTACCTATTTATAAATATTTGTGTAACAGGAAACAGAATTTTGATCATTAAGACAAATCACCCCTCTGACCCTCCAGTAAAGAGATGCTAAGAGTTTCAACACTAACAGATTTCTCTTCTGGACTCTGTCATTTGTGTCTTCCTAAAACAGGATCAGTCACAGATTTTTTCCCAACTCAGATTAGATTTCTCTGTGGGGAGCACACAGAGCGGGAGAGTGAAGATCTTATTCTTTTAAATCATTATATTTCTCACAAACAACATCAAAGCTTCAGCGATTCACATCAAACAAAAGATGCTAACAGAAATCCAGCTCTGTTCAGGGCATTGTTAGGCAGAGACAGTAACGCTATGAATAGCAGGGCCAAAGGCCATGCACTCTGCTTCTGGGCAGATAAATACATAGTCAGGTAGTCAGTGACAATGACAGCAGCTATTTAAATTTAAGGGAGATGTCTTTGTGGAAGATAAAGCAGCTCATGGCTTTTACAACTTATGCGTGCCTGAGATTGCCCTGCTCACCTCTACCTTGGTGCTCCCTTGAACTGCTCCATTTTAGTGCTATTTTTAGAGCTATTCAAGATTTTCTGGGGTATTGAGAACTTCAAGCATATAATAGAATCTACAGAATTGAATTTGCATTACTCCATCCAGGATTCTAGGGGGAACCTGGGAAGAGTAGAAACATTCAGCCTAGCCAGTACTTTAAATGTTTTGAATGGAATGTGGAGGGACAGATTCCTTCTTTATCACACTGTTTGAAGGACTCAGAAACAAATGTAATCACACTGTCTGCAACTCCAAGAGCTCTGATATGCCTGTCTTCCTACAGAAGATAATGTCTGGCCTTGTAATTAAATCTCTTTGTTGTCTATGATAATGTAGCTGCAAAAGCATCTATTCTGCTTGTAAACTTTGATTAAATGCACAGGGTGGCATAAATGGTAGAGCCTCTACAAAGCACAGAAAAAATACACAGAAATCTTAACAGTCATGGCTTTTGTGCTTTAACTTCTTTGGCTCAAGGGTTGACTTTGACACTTGAATTGGAAGTACATGCACACACTGATTTTTTT